GAAATTTAACTTAGTAGCTAATTTTGAAACACGTATTATGACACATTACCAAACTATTCCTTATGTTTACATTTACAGAATAAGTTAAAATGAGCTCTATATAGTAGCCAGTACAAATGTAAGCACAGAAGGGTTGACTTTCCTTATTCTTAAAACTGGTTTGTTTGTTTGTTTGAATGCTTATTGCATGCCAAGTGCTGTCGGTAAGAGATGGATCTAGATTCAGCCGACGCCATCTGCCGTAATATAATTACTGCACTTCCGTTTTCCTACTCGCTTCTCACAAGCAAAACAGAACATTTATAGAATCAACACAACGTTGTTACAATTAGGCAATCTAGTGACTCAATCTTTTCATTATATCTTTTACCAGTATCTTAACTATTGTATTCTTCTAAGTATTGGAAGGCAGCAATGAATTATTGCCACTTGTGAAACAGATAATCCAGTTCAAAAATAAAAGTATTATTTCATCAAAACATACCTCCTCAGATCAGGAACATATGTGACAGACTGGATACCGACAGAAAGTAGGAATTTTACCTGCCTAATGCAGGCACTACCCTATATCTACATAATGTTCTTTTCTCACACCTTTGCTTGAGATCTGTGTATTATTCTGCTTTATGATTGCTATTAGTAACTATACAGGGACTCCTTGCAATGGCCTAGTGGCAAAATCTTCACCTTGCATGTGTCGGGATCCCATAGAGGCACCAGTTCGTGTCCTAGCTTCTCCACTTCCCATCCAGCTCCCTATTTGTGGCCTGAGAAAGCAGTAAAGGATGACCCAAAGCCTTGAATCCCTACATCCATGTAGGAGATGTGGAGGAAGCTCCTGGGTTTGGAATGGCTCAGCTCCAGCCATTGCAGCCATAATGAACCAACAGATGGAAGCTTTTTCTCTCTGTCTCTACTTCTCTGTGTAAATCTTTCAAATAAATAAATAAATCTAAGTTCCTTGAAATTTCTGTATCTAGAGAAGACACCAACCGATACCCTGTTTTTGCTGTTCATGCCTCACTGTTTGTTGGTCATTCTTTTCAGTCTGACTCCCTGCGTGATCCTCTTAGCATATTTTTGCCTATGTGCATTTCATACTTCACACCTATAAATAATAATTTACAGGCTTTTTTCCTGAAAACTAGGTCCCCTTAGACAAACACTCTTGGTACCCCCAAAATCTCCACAAATACAAACTTATTGATCACCCTTCTTCTTGAGTTGCCCAGACTGTCAGTTCTCACGCTTTTCTTTTCATCCCTTAGATACTGAATTAATCAGAAAAGATGTTATTTCTATAAGCAGAAACTCTACTCAGAGGGGGAAAAATAGTTCAGCTCTCTAACATATCTGCCATAACTATTCTGAGAGAAGATGACAAAATATCACCTCTATATCTAAGAGTTTTTATTTAACACTATGCTTGGTTTCTTAATTGATGTGTTTCTAATTATTTGGTTAAGATATTGTGGCATTAACTGTTAAACCATCCACTTAGCAAATATTCACTATACATTTTAAAATTATAGGGCCCTGCTCAGTAGCCTAGTGGCTAAATGCCCGCCTTGCACATGCCAGGATCCCACATGTGTGCTGGTTCACTGTACCCACATGAGAAACCCAAAGAAAGCTCCTGGCTCCTGGCTTCAGATCAGCTCAGCTCTGGCCATTGCAGCCACTTGTGGAGTAAACCAGCAGATGGAAGGTTTTTCTCTCTTTCTCTCCTTTTCTCTGTAAATCTGATTAATAAAATAAATCTTAAAATAAATGAAAATATGTAATATGAAACATATAAGTGGGGATCTCCTGCTGATCTCACAGGAAAGATCCCTGCTGAGAGTAACAGAACATGAATCAACAAAGCCTCTCGGTGGTCCCTTTTCCAGCCACATCAGCACAGCCTACTGTCCTCGTCTCAGGTGCATCATGGAGATGCCCCCAAACTTCCCCACTAAATACAGGATGAAGTCCAAATCTTCAGTGGGTCAACAACATTTTCACTTTTCTTGTCTTTCCTTCCCTGGAGGTCAGAGTCCTTCTGAGCAGCATCAACCTGGAGCTGCCCTGACTCCTGGCTGGAGGCCTCAGGCTCCACCTAGTGGTGCAGAATGGCATCCTGGGATGGGAACAGGGACTCCTGCAGGCCAGACCCGGTTGAGGTCCTGCAGACATGCCAAGAATGGGTAAATGGAATTCACAGACTCAACCCTACAGTTCTACTATCTAAGCGTTAGATTGACATGAAGGAACGTCCCCAATCTCCAAACCAATTGTCATCATTACCATTCTAGAAATAGGGTGGCAAGGTAAAGTGGCAGCATCTCTCCTGCTGTATTCAAATAAAATTACAGGATAATTCTGGCTAGTAACTGCTTGTCATCTACATCCTTGTAGAATTTCTATGAAATTCATTTAAAATAATATTTATTGATCTAAGTATCACATCCACTGTTCAACACAAATTTTTAAAGTCGCTGTATGCCATAGACACTACATGAAGCTACTCATACTCAGCCTGTACTCAGGGAGTCAAATGAATCTACAACAATGCAGAAAAGAAGTCTATCCTAGGTAATGTTAGGAGGTCTTCCCTGGAAAAATAATAGTTGAGCTGATTTTGTAAAGCGAAGGTAGACATAAAGAACCAAGGGTATTGTTTTTGGCTCAATGCTACATACGCGATAGAAGACACTGAAAAACTTATATAAAAAGAAATAATTTATAAAGGAAGATGAATAAAGCATTCCCCCTTAACTCTCTTCTTCTTTTTAGCAATAAGGAATAATAATCAACACTATACTTTAAAACAAAGTTTATTAATCATAAAAAACATTTCAATAGATTGACAGTTACAATGTCTTACAAGATACTAAATGGCTTGAGATGAAAAGCATGCGTTAAGTTATGCAATATATTTTTAATCTTAACCAATTGCAATGCTACAAGCCATATGTTCTCTGCTTCAGATATCTATCACTGTTGCAGCAATATCAACAAAGCAGCATTTACTACCACCTCCACGACAGCCCACTTTACCAGGGATGAGTGTTGTTAGAAAAATACATCAAATGAGGAGACAAGATATGCCTTTCAGTAAGTCTGGGACTAACTGGGACCAAGTTTACGGTCCTTCAGAAGAAGCCTTCTATTTGGGTAAGATGACATCGCATACATGACATCTATATTATATTCTCAGGGATCTCCCTCAGTTTCCTCTTTCTTTGCTTAGCAATTTTGAGAACACTCTAATGTCTGCAGCACACCAGGTTCTGACACCTGATAGCCTTTATTTGTAATTTCTTTGGAAAATACTCCAGGCCTATCTGATAGAACAACAGGCATGAGGTGGATGACCCAAGCAAAGATAGATAGGCCACTTCTGTTAAGGAAGGTTTAAAAGCAGTAACTATTGTGAACTATTTGGTACAACTGACTTGTTTTGAGATTTAACTAAAACTCTCCACAGTCCTGTTTTTGAACTGACTGATACTAGGCTATGTCTGCTCCGATTTCTGTTGCCTAGCTGATGCCAAAAACTACAAGCATTTCTATCAGCATTGCAGGATATGCATGCACACATCAACACTAGTCTCTCTCAGGCCCAGCGAGGTAGCCTAGTGGTTAAAGTCCTCGCCTTGCATGCACCAGGATCCCATATGAATGCCAGTTCGTGCCCCGGTGGCCCCACTTCTCACCCAGCTCCCTGCTTGTGGCTTTCGTAAACAGTGGAGGACAGCCCAAAACCTTGGGACCCTGCACGCATGTGGGAGACTTGAAGGAAGCTCCTGGCTCCTGGCTTCAGATCGGCTGAGCTCCGACCTTTGCAGCCTCTTGGGGAGTGAATCAATGGACTGAAGAACTCTGTCTTTCGTCCTCTCTGTATATAAGACTTTCCAATAAAAATTAAAAAAAAAAAAAAAAGAATTGTCTCTCTCATACAACAAGACCATACACTAGAAACATGCTCATCGGCACACAATACGTGCTAAGCACAGTGCTAGGTGGCAGGAACACAGTGTTAAATGAGCCACAGCAATAATCAATTGTTTTCTTTTCACATAAGATTATATATATAAAGGATGTGGGACATGCAATGATAGCTCCAGAAACTGTTATTGTTATGATGATGATGATCACCATTTATAAATGTCCTCCAAAAATCATCACATTTGTAAAATGACAATGTTATGCAGTGCCATTAATACTCACCAATGCTGTAATAGCGCTTTAGTTCTGTACGCCTGATTTCCTTTAACGGATTATTTTTCCTCTTCTTTTTCTCATCAGTGCCATATTCCTCTTCCACAGCAATGCTGCACTTGTCTTGATCTAAGCTTACTGTGGCAGCATCTTCTTTCCCAGAGTGAGTTCTGGATACTATCGCTGAAGCTGTCTCTGCATTTTGTTTGGCTTGCTTTTTCTTTTTCAATCTAGCAACAAGAAAAAAAAAAGGGAAATACTGCAGAAATGATATGCTAATAGGAATCATATTTATCTCATGCTTTGGGGCTTTGAAAACTAATTAATTGCTACAGCCTACACTTTATTGTTAATTATACTAATATTCTTCTAATATTGTTAATTATACCTCCTTATTTTTTTTCTTTTCTGATCACTTTAAAATTCTTAAGTCAAGACTCTAGGCTTTTCTTCAATTTTATATCCTCAACATTACCTCTCAGTATATGATGCTTTCAGCCGAAAGGGGAAACAAAGTTCTTTTATAAGGTTACTAAGTGTGGAATATTTTAAAAGTCTACATATACTATCACCCACCTGTAGCACCATGTCTTGATAGTTACATTAAAGAAGGGAAACAGTGGCACCTGTGTCATGGTGCAGCAAGTTAAACCACAATTTGTGAAACCGGCATCTCCAATTGGTTTGTGTCCTGGTTACTCCACACAGATGCAATTTCCTGGTAACATGCCTGGGAGGGCAGTCAATGATGATCTGAGAGCTTGCACGCCTACCATGCATACAGGAGCCCAGGAAGGAGGTCCTGGCTACTGGCTTCACCCTGGCCCATGCCCAGTTGTGTGGGGGTAATTTAGGTAGTAAACCAATGAATGAAAGCACTCTGTCCTTCAGATAAGTGAAACACAAAAGAAACGGAAAAAGTGCTTCTGGTGTTTTGTGTTCGGTTGATGGGTAAGCACATCTGTACAAATGAGTCCTTCCTATCTGGCTCCCACACTGCATAAAGCTTTGACAAGATATGAAACGGTTTGAAGCTGAGCAATTCTGTTCCTTAAAACATATGACAGGTGTAGTACAGAAAGCGCATTTCCTGAGATGGAAAACTCTGTAACGATATGGGATAATCACTATGATTACTAATATATTAGCTGAGATGCTAGTTAACATACATGATGGGTCTCACATCTTTCCTCTTGAGTCAAAGATGTTGAAGAGATAAGTTTGTCCTAATTCACTGAAACCCAGAAACTTCAAATATTCCCCACCTGATGTACTACTGTAACTGATATGACACTGTATTGTTAGTCCTTTTTGCAAATGTTTTTGACTCAGCACAATGCAAATTATTTGAGACCAAGGACCTTGACCTCTCATTCATAGAGCACTGTGATCACACATAAACATATTTTAGTTATATTTAATTTTAATTCACCACATACCTAGAAGGTATCTAGTAATGAGCTTCCTCTTAAGCATTTCTACTTAGTCTGCTCTCTTGAGCACCTGCACAATTTGTTTTTGGGTAATGGGTATGAAAACATTTGGGGGAAAAAATTACGGTGACTATATACAACTGATGGAGACAAATATTCAACATTTACAAAGAGCTTCAGAAACACAACAGCAAAAACAAACAACCCTATTAAGAAACCAGCAAAGGAAATGAGCAGGCATTTTCCAAAAGATCAAATTCAAATGGCTAGTAGACACATGAAAAAACGCTCATGTTCCCTAGCTATTAGGGAAACGCAAATAAAAACCACATTGAGGTTCAACCTAACTCCAGTGAGAATGACTTACATACAGAAATCAACTAACAATACCTGCTGTCATGGATATGGGAGAAAAAAAAAAAACCTACCCTATTCCACTGTTGTTGAGTCTAGACCAGCATAGTCACTATGGAAGTCAGTATGGAGAATGCTAAGTAAAAATTCATCTACCTTGTAACACCAGCTATCCTATCCCTGGGAATATATCCAAATGAAGTGAAACATACACATGAGAAAGTGATTTGCAACCCTGTATTTATACAGGGTTATTAATCATCAATTGGTACAACCCATGATAGTGAAGACATGAAAGCAATCCAGACACTTGTCAAAAGAGGAATGGATAAAAAACTATGGTGTATCTACTCTGTGGAATACTATTCAGCCACTAAAAAGAATGAGATTTTACTATTTGCAACCAAATCATTCCAAATGGAGACAATATGCTCAGTGAAATAAGTCCCCAAGGATCAAATATCACATGTACTCTCTAATGGTGGACAATCTTCATGTAAAATACAAAACAAATAGATATACAAGTTAAAATCTATATACATATATTCTCATATGAACTGTAATGTGTTCAATGAACTGTAGAATGGAGACTAGCGTACTAGAAAGTGGAGACATGGTGCAGTGTGCATCTCTACTTCCAAATAAAAGGAGGGCTCCTAATGAAACAGTTAAACATACCTTGACTACGATACTAGATGTTCTACCTGTACCTATACAATGCTATGGTAGATTTAAATAATATCATGGAAGATGGGGGGGGGGGAATTGGGAAGGAAGGATGAGAGATGGAGACAAGAATCTCTATACTTATAAAGATGCTACTTGTATCATAGCAAATAATAATAATGAGTTGACCACAGGATAATACATGAATAAAGTTTTATCTCATGCTGTTTTACACTGATATAGTGGGCAAATTAATCTGACCATCTTTAGAAGTCCTTCCCCAAGGCTTTGACCTGAGGAGAACATTAACCTCAGACTACAAATCCAATTCTTCCGCACAAACTTCCTCATATACTAAAAGCTGAAAATTTTATTTCTTTATCTAATAGGGTCCTTTATTAGGACCAAGATAATATAAATCAACATATAAGCAGAAATAGTAAAATATCCCCTAATGCAATCATATAATTGTAAAAGAAGCATGAAAGAATATATGACAATCTCTAATCCCACCTTTCTACAAGATATTTCAGTAGGGGCTAGCATTATTGGGCAGTGAGTGAAGCCACTGCTAGTGACACTGCATTCAATATCTGAATGCCTGTTAGTGTCCCAACTGCTTTCTTCTGATCCAGCTCCCTGTTAACGCACTTGAGAAGTAGGAAGGCAGCAAAAAAGTGATCCAAGTACTTGGACCCCCACCAGCCATGTAGGAGACCTGAATAGATTTCCAGGTGCCTGGCTTCAGACTGGCACATACACAGTTGTTTGTGGCCCTTTAGGGGGAGCAAACCAGCAGATGAAAGATCTCTCTCCCTTTCTCCCTCTTTCTTTGTGCCTCTGCCTTTCAAATAAATAGGTAAATATATTTTTTTAAGAAAATATACTCCAACAAAGCTGAACACTGAGCAGCCAGGTTCTTAGATTTCCATTGGCTAATAAGCAAACATGTGGCCTAGGAGAAAAGAGAAACAGAAAAAGTCATGCATGAATATAATCACCAGGTCTTTTAGCTTCGTATTTAAACTATTTTTTTTATCACAAACCGAATGGCATGAGATTCATTAAAGGGCCTCAGAGAAACACGCTTGTATCTTCTATCATCAGATGCCAACAATGCGAGCCAGACAATGCTCTCACAGCACAAACGTTATCAGAGTAAGAGTTGAAGCTAAAATTAATGTGCATTAGTGAGATACCAAACACATACTGTGTGTGTGTGCGCGTGTGAGGGGTTTGCCTGTACAAGGAAATGATCCTTGTTCCTGAAATGCAGGCTGTGTGCGTGGGTTGACTGGATTCCAGTGCATCGGCTAATCAAAAATCTGCTTGACAAGAATCTTGAGGCCCCCACATTAAAAAGGCTTCCTTTAGGAAGAAGGGAGATGTCAAAAAGGAGTTTGTCACTGCCAGAGAGATGGTGCTGCTTAACCTTCTGAATTTTTCCACCTTAACTTGATTTGAATGTCCTCATTTCACTGTCCCCTAGATAATTAAGTTTACTGAGATCTAGGGCATGTGTGTTGGTGAACAGCAGCACTGTGTGGGGACATCTCATTAGAGACTGATTTTCACACATGGAAGCAACAAAATGGGATGCATTGTTTTGTTCGTTTTCCCCCTTTCCCACACAGACCATTATTGTCAACACACACAGCTAAACAGCTGCTACTTCTGAGAAAAATGCCAGAAAAACAGCAACACCAAGTTTGTTTGACAGAAAACAGAGGACCCTTCAGTACTTGGGAAATTCTGTAATCAGCAGCATCTTCTGTAAGTACTCCGAGACCATGTCTCTCCAGAGGTGATGAGCAAAACGAGAACATTCTGATCTCATAGCTGGAAATGAGCCATGTGTTCTGAAAGATGTCTACGAAGTTTTTCCTCCCAAGCACAGACACCGATTTTGACCACCAAGGCAAAGCAAGGATGGACCTGAGAAAAGTGGGCTACGGCCATCCTTAACCTAAAGTCCTTTTTTTCCACACTAAGAAAATCTCACAATAGGAATTTGTAGCCACCTCATTCAGTGACAGGTAAACTGGGGAAAACATACATGTAACTTGCAGAGAAATGAACTCTACTTATTTCATCCACGTTTTTTGAATGACTCTAAATGCGTATTTTCACATTGGGGGCTGAAAGAATATTTGGTAAATCATATAAAACAGATTATTCACTGACAAATAATGACAGATTCATCATCTGATCTCCAGAAATACAATGAAAAAAATTCTATATTTTTGATATGCTGCATTTGTGTTTCCTTAAGACAGGTCACAAATACATAAAACAAGTACATATTCATTCAACCCCTTCCCAAATCCTGTCAGTTCTCTCTCCTAAATATCTCACTCTTAAATTCACCTTTAGTTCTTAATCTCACTCTCATTACCCAGGTTGGGCTCTCCTCATCTCTCTGCCTGGATTATATATTACTATATGCTTGGAGTACATATCGCTATTTGTTGTATTATAAAAATACATATATATTACTATATTCCTGGAGTATATATTACTATTTGTTTTGTTGCAGAAATACATGTTCATACTAGATAATTTTTAAAATGTGTAACAGATTTTTAACAAGGTTCAGATGCACTGGCAATGCTAAGAAGCTAGTTAGCACTGTTCTGAGTAGTAACACCAAAGGCGGAAGCAAAACATGTGCCCTTTCTTCTCCGGCAGAATGAGGCAGGCATGGGGCTCAGGACAGGAGTCAGAGCTTATTCAACACCATAACAGAATGTGACAGAACTTTTGCTCTTCTACAACATCCTGGATTTATTATATTAAATTAAATAATGGTAATACCTGTAGAATCTATGCAGATTTTACTCTTCTCCTTACCAGAGTCCCAACCCAGAGTTGGCAGAGAAACTGCCGACGAATCACTTTCAGTGGCTCAAGAAAGACCGTTTTTCCTCTCAAGTTTTTCCTGTATTCAGGGAAATGATTTCAGGGCACAGGCTGTACTGTAGCCACAGCCTTGAGCAAATTCCTTTTTGAGGTCCCTTCCTTACTGGGGGTCACCACAGAAAAGCCCCAACTAGGAGCCGCATCATGGCATAACATGTAAAGCCACCACGTGCAGTGCCTGCTGGCACCCCTACGTGGGCACCACTGCTGCTCCACTTGGGCTCCAGCTCCCTGCTGACAGCCTAAAAAGAGCAGTGAGAGATAGTCTAAGCACCTGAGCTTCTGTCATTCATGTGGGTCACCTCAGTGAAGCTCCTGCCTCCCATCTACAGCCTGAACCAGCAGTTGCACAATCAGGCTCTCTCTCCCTTTCTTCCCTCTGTAGCTCTGACATTCAAATAAATGAACAAGGGGAAGGTGGGAAATTGGGTGGGCCTTCTCCCTTAATACCCACCTTTAAACATGAAGGAAACAATATGGAAAAAAATACTAGTTTTACCCACTTTCCTGTAGCCCTTGAAACTTTTTAAATAATAAAAAATATTTTTAAAAATATTAAAAAAATAAACAATGTAGAAATAAAAAAAACAAATAAATGAACAAAGCTAAACAAAAATTAAAAAAAAAAAAAAGGAACAGAAGATTCATGAAGGCAAGCAATGCTGTCCTCCAGGGCCTATTCATGGCACCCATTACCAATTAAATAAATATTTCCTGAATGAGTGAAAAAG